GCAGAACTGGGATAGCTTTGTAGACTTACCCAAAAGCAAGGAAAGGAAGTTTTTACATCCTGTCATGGACTAGCCATTTCATGCTGTCTGTCCTCAAGGAAGGAGTTTGCTCTTTGGTGAGTTTCTGGTGCAGGCAAGTTCCTAAAAAGGAATTGGGTTCCTAAAACAGAACCCACCAGCAGCCATCATGCTAGGCACCTTGGGAAATGAGCTGGGCTGGGAATATAGCTCTGTGCTGAGGCTCGGGTTTAATTCCTAATACAGAAAACAAGAACCAACCCAACAAACAAATTCCATCCAGATCACTAGGTTATAGTTTGTAAAGCAGCTCTGCACATTGCTAACTAATTAGGTTAAAATTGTGTAGGTAGTGATTCCTAAACATTGCTACATAGTGCAGTCCCTTGAGGATCCTTAAATAATACCAATATTTGGGCCAAGCGTGGTGGCATATTCCTGTAATCCCACTACTCTTGGAGGCTGAGGCAGGGGGATCACGATTTCAAGTTCAACCTGGGCAATTTAGCAACATACTGAGACCTGGTCTTCAAAATTTTTTTAAAAAAAGTCTAGGTTCAATCCCCAGTACTGGAAGGAGGATTGGGGTGGGCAAAAACCAAAACCTGAGACCCACCTCACACTCCCTGACATTCTGATTTAATTGGCTTAGGGTGTGACCTGGGCATTGAGTATATTAAAACTTGCAAATGCATCTAAAATGTAACAAATTCGGGCAACTATTGGTATTAGATTGTCCAGTGGATTTCCAGTTGATTACTTGCTAAAAATCTAGAATTGATGGTTGGGAAATTTAGAAAAGAAAAAGGTAATATCCAGGTACCAGTTATCCTATTTGGATATAAGACACCCAAATTCTATTTGGGTTATAAGAAACTTGGGAGAGAAAGTTAGCATGCCTGGTGAAATGTGACTTAATGGAGAAGAGAAATAAAACCCAGCAAGCCCAACTCTCTTTGGTCCTGGGGGATGCTTTCATGCTTACATACTCCTTTGTTTGTGATGCACTCTGACTGAAAGGGCCAGCACCTGATTTAGTAGCTTTGTTTGCCTGCATAGAGTTAACATTCTAATGGAGCCATCTGAATCTTCAGCTTCTTTTCCTTCATCCTTCTGGCCATTTCTTGCTTTGGGTTTTAATTATGTAGACATCACTGCTCCTCTTGTGAGAGATGCAGTATTAATGAGAGGTCTTGGGTTACGGGAGGGCAGAGGCCATCAGTATGAGCATTCGGACAACCCAGTCACCTCTTGTGGATGAGAGGCTGTTGGGCTTGGAGAGGGCACAGTGGAAACCTGTGGGACCTTAGCTGCTTTGCATTCATGGTTCAGAAATGTGGACAATATCATGAATGTTAATTCTAGACTTATTTAATAAGGTTTCCACAGTACCTGATGGCTGGAGCTTATCAACACATTCACACGACAAAGACTTAGAAGACCTTTAATGAGCCTTTCTCTTTTCTTTGGACGCAAGTACTTTTCCGGCTAATGTGTAGCTCTTTTCCCCCTCTTCCAAACATCTCTGAAGGCCATTGATGTGTCCTGCCTTTGCTCTCTGGCTCCTTTTTCCTCGACTGCAGCCACTTATGGAGGTACCATGGACTCTGCAGCCAGAATGCTGGGAGATAAGTCTTGGTTCCTCTCTGTACTCTCTGTGTGATCTGGGAAAAATTAATCCCTGTGTTGCCTCAGTTTCCTCATTTGTAATGTATGGTTGATGTGAGGACCGAATAAACGAACACACATTATGGGTATGAACACTGGGCCTGGCTTCCAGTATACTGTAAGGACTTAGCTGTTTCACTGTGACTGGATAACTTGAGGGGACAGACCATGTCTTCCTCATCCGAGTTTCTCTCTGCTCCTCAGTATAGTTGTGTATATGAAGATCCAGTCAGCAGGCAGACACCCTGCCAGTAATTTGAATAGGGAACATTCAATATTAAGAACATTAACAGCTCCAGGCTGAATGTAATCATTATGTACTGCAAACGTGCTAATAAAAATAGAAAATGTAACGCAAACACTAAAGGACATAGGAATAATAGGTGAAGAAATGTAGAGGGAGCAGCTGCTTGCAGCTCCAGGGTGGAGGCAAAGGACTCAGTGAAGGAATAAACACTCTCTGGAGAGAATACGGCCATATTGCACGTGAAAGGCTCTAGAGGTGCCACAGGCTGGGGGATATATGGAAATGCCCACTGGGTCACCAGGGAGGAAAACCTCTTCTACTTAGTACCCCATCCATGCCCTTTATTGCAAGACCTCGCATTGTACCAGCTACCAAAGAAGGAATGTTTCGGGTACAGCTCCAGTATCCCAAGACAGGGCAAAGAAGGGTGAGTTTAGAGCTGAGGTGCAGTAAGTTGATAACTAGCTTAAGTAGGAATGATAGAATTTAGGAGAATTAGGTATAATACTGTAACAGATCATACTTTCAAGTGCCTTTTACTTCAGTAAGTGTTTATGGAAGTGACAAGGTATGGTGAAAACATGAATTTTGGAAATGACTTGTCATTTTGGGTGAGAACAAGTGTCTGATGTTCAGTGTCCTCATCAATTTGATGAAACAGAATTTTAGAGGAGAATATGTAAAACCACCCTGCCCTGTGCCTACCACATGGGAAGTTCTTTGTAAATGTGAAATCCCTCTTCTTCTTCCTCCTCAACATGTCCCACACATCTAGCACCCTAGATGTCTGCACTTTATATGGATGATGTTAAGACAATCAGGTCTATTTTTACCTCCCATTCCCCATAATTCAACAAAACCAGGTTCAGTGAAGTCATTTGGAGTACTTCCTTTGTGAAAAGTCTTCATTAGTGTGCAGGTAGGATTCAAAGATGCAGTGAGACCTTGTCCTTTATCATTACTGTCCCCATTCTTGTCAAGAACAGTATGAAGTACATGGTCTGTAAGTAAGACGCTAGGTATCAAACATCTTCATATGAAATATGATGGAACTGTCCTGGACAGAGGGAACTGTTTGGCTCAATCGGGTTTGCAGAGACACTTTAACTTCTGTTTCTTACCCCCAGTCCCTCTAGGGTGCTCTCTGCACTGTGCTTTTGTTATTGTACAGGACTCTCAGAAACCTCTTTCTTTTAAAAATAGAAGCCAGTGTAAGTTTTTTCTTATCTCTCTGGGAAAGGTTTAATTCAGAAAAAAGGTACCTACTTTTATCTCAATTTCCTAAATTCATTTACAGAGAAGCAGTCGGGAAATTTAGGCAGCAAATCGCTTAGTTGCTGAAGTGTGGAGATTGAATCTGGGGGCATCCGTTCCATCTGTGCAAGTCTGGTTAGCTTTGCTATGATCACACCATGTGCTCTTGGGCTCAGCTGGCCACCTCAGAGTGTGCTGTCCTCCTGAGAAGGACAAGGGGAGGGAGCTGGGGTGACTCAGTGCAGATGGATAGATACTGTTAGGAAAGGCACTTGCCTTCCGTGCAGCACCCTTTTTTATACCCAGTGTAATTATTAAGAGTAGGATTCAGCTAGATTGGATATGTTCAGAGACATATTCTACTGTTTGATAACACGTACTGCAAGAACTTTATCAAGTCCTCTACTTCTTAGTTTTTTTTTTTTTGTTTATTTGTTTTCTGGTACCGGGAATTGAACTCACGACTTTGTGCTTGCCAGGCAGGCGCTATGCCGCTGAGCTAAATCCCCAAAAATGGGGATTGTGAACAGTCATTTCTCATGCTATTTGTAGAAATAAATGAAGTCACTCTTGGGGTTTAAGTAATTGCATTGCATGTAGAAAGCACTGTTTCTATTGTCCTCCTGCCTCAGCTTCCCGAGTGCTGGGATTCCAGGCGTGCACCACCACGCCTGGCTAACTTTGCTTTTATTATAACTCAAGTGAGGAGCTTCTAGTCATGAAGGAAAGGCTTACATTCTATAACACAGTAGACTAAAGACTCTGTTGTAGTTGGTCTGTAACTGGCTTATTTAATGAGATCCAGTTTGGGGGGATCAGACAGAGAGCATTTTGGTGGCAGAGGAAATAACACATGCTTAATCCAGATATCTTATAGAACTAAGATTTCCTTGTATCCAGACTTATCAAAGGATTCAGAATACCTGTCTCAGCACTGGAAGATACCTTTCTTGTGCTTTTCAATAACAGCTATTGCTGTTGACCAATATACGTAATAATATTAATTTACTTTACAGAAATTTAGTATATATCAGGTGAGTGAAAAGTGCATTACATGTATTTTCCTCATTTAATCCTCACATAATCTAGTCCAATTCTGTTTTTTTTTTTAAACTACTTTAAAGATGAAGGAATCTGAAGCTTAGCATGGTTAACTTTGTAAAAGACCTAAAATCAGTAATTGATAGGACCATTGTTTGAAGTCACATTTGCCTGACTCCTGTGCCTATTTTAGCCTATTATTATCAACCTAAAACGTGAAAACATAAACACTACGGGAGAAGATGGATGTGTGCATATTACAGGGCAGTAGAAAAACCCCAGAAGACTTAGCAAAATTTGACCCCGGTCACTTAGTGAGTGAGGAAGCCAGGATAATGACTCTGGTTCTTTGATGCCACCAACTTCTTTGCTATCTAAATGAAGCATAGCACAGTCAGTGCAGAGGTACTGATTAAGCAGCTGTTATGTGCCCATTACTCCTATGTGCTAGAGGGACACAAAACAAGTAGCTTGCAGTCTTATTAGGGAGAAATGAAATGACAATAGATTTTGCACTTGTGTTCTAAATTGCACACTCCGAATAATAAGGGCAGCTGCAGAAGGCACTCAACTTTTCTTAGATGTTTTCTTTTCTTTTTTTTTTTTTTAGTCCTTTTGAGACAGGGTCTCACTATGTAGTTCAGGCTGGCCTTGAGCTCACTTTGTAGCCCAGGTTGTTCTCGAACTCACAACGATCTTCCTGCCTCAGCCTCCTGAGTGCTGGGATTACAGGCATGCGCCACCATGCCCGGCTACTTTCTTAGGTGTTTTCATGTCTTTCTTTTAGTTCCTCATTGATTCAACAGTACCCAGGAGGGGGTACACATTTATTGTTTTTTTCAGGTAAAAAGTGAATCTTAGATGAGGGTAGGAAAGTGACTAATAAGGATTACAGATGCAGAAAACTGCAGAATTTAGCTGCTTTGGATCCAGATCTGACCCAAGCCCAAAATAACCCTGTGGATCAAATTAGCAGACAAGGAAGAATGGGTAGAATTGGGCATGTGTCTCTTGGCATTGCCAGAATGCCTTTTTTGTGGAGCTAGTATTCCTCTAGGTAACTGAGGTGACCCAGCAGCTCAGACCCAGCTGCTTCCAAGATCCCATGAGGCTGCTGCTCTGTCAACAGGTTGCAGAAAGAAACAACCATGGAAAGAACTATCACGAGCCTGCAGGGCTAGGCACTTTCAGAATAAAACTTTCTGCCAGTAAATGTCAAGAAGTTTTAGCTCTCAGCATGAGGTCAGTGAACAGGACACAGGTGACACCAGCGGATCATCAATACTATCCAGCTTCAGCAAGTTCTCCTGTGCACCTACAGCTGACAGACACAAACACTGTCCTTTAGGAACAACCAAAGAACAAGAATGCATACATTAACCCTCTGCTACTGAGAGTGGCCTGTGGAGTAGCAACATGGGTGTGGCCTGGGTGTTTTTTAGAAAGACAGATTCTTGGTGCTTCAGTAGACCTGCTGCATTGGAACCCATGGCTTTACAAGATTGCCCAATGATTATTAAAGTTTGAGAGACACTACCTACCTGACGTTCTTGCTCTTTTATTGTTTTTGATTTAGATTTAGACTTCTTTTTCTACTCCCTTCGGCAGATGACATTGCTTCTCCAAATATAAGCACACTGTTGGGCAGTGTTTTAGTTTGAATCTGGAGTATCTCACAAACGCTCATGTACTGAACGCTTGGCTGCCGGTCTGTGGCACTAACTGGGAGGTGGTGGAACCCTCAGGAGATGTGGCCAAATGGAGGGAAGTTAGGTCACTGTGGGTGTGCCCTTGCAGGGGATATCTGACCCTGGCCTTCTCTCCTTCTCTAGCTACCTCTTCCCTCCTACTTCTCCTTCTCCCTCTCCTTCTCCCTCTCCCTCTTCCTCTCCTTCTCCATCTCCCTCTCCCTCTTTTCCCTCTTCCCCACTGTTGTCAGGTATACTGTGGTGCCACAGCCCCAACAGCAGAAGAATTGAAACCTCAAAAACTGTGAGTTAATGTGTATCTTCTCTTTTAAGTGGATTATCTCAGGTATTTTGCCACAGTGACGGAAAGCTGACTAACACAGGCATTCATTATCCTGAAACTGGATTCAGGTGATCTGGATCTCTAGCTCAGCCTCCTTCCTGGAGTGGAGCCTTCCCCTTTTCCAGAACTCCACATCCCTGTATGTGAGATGGGTCACTGAGGTCTTTCAGGTGATTGTTGTGGGAATCAAATGATTTCATGGGAACAAAAGTGCTTTGTAATCCAAAAATGACTTTCAAGATAATCATGCTGTCCTTTGCCGAATGAATACTGAACACAGCATTCGTCGGGGGTGTGTGTCTTGAGTAGCAATCCTGCATTTCAGTGAGTAGACCAAGAAAATAATTCTCGGAGGTACAGCTTAGAATTTGAAAACTCAGATGACCCTGCTTGTCGAGGGAGCAAGTGCTACTCTCTGTAAGAGTCTGACCTGCTCAGGAAGGGAGTGTCACTGTCTGTTGCCTAAGAGGTCCTGGAAGTGCTGTCCTGAAGAGGTCCTTAGCTGTTTTCTCCTGTGGATTGCTGCCTCCAGTGCTGCTTTCCTCTTGTCCCTATTCCCAGGGCTCAGGCAGGGGGAGCAGCTGTCATACTGTGGAGGACGCAAGCCTCTATGTAGAGCAGGGTGCCTGTGTTTTTATTTAGCGTCACCTCCTTGATACAGGTTGACCTAATAGGCAACACCTGGGAAATCATTGGTGACAGCACAGGGAACAGAGTCTCCCAGGAGCATCATCTTATGTTTTGTCAGATGTGGGGGATGAGGAGGAAATAACATCTTTCAGCCTGGTTGCTCCTGCATCCAAGCTCGCATGAATAATTGAGAGCTGGCAAGCGGACTGCACCAAAGAGTTGCATTATGTAAACTGGCAGGCAGCAGCTTGTGTGTGTGCCTGCACCGTGTGCGTATGTGCTTGTGCGTGTGTGTGCGTGTGTGTCTGCGCGCAAGAGAGGGTGCTTGTCTGAGTGTGTCTGTGCGCCTGTGCGCGTGCGTGCCTGAGCTCAGAACAGCTGTCTGTGAGGGAGTCCGAGGGAGAGAGAGAGAGAGAAAGGGAGCGAGCGAGCTAGCGAGCGAGCGAGCGAGGGACTTCTGTACTGCTGCACGACCACACCAAATAACAGCAACAGAGGGAGGTGGGGGGGAAGAAAATAAAGGGGGACCATGCTTAAAATTCCAGAGCAGTGCGAAACAGCAGAGCCAGGGAGCACCCCCAGCTTATGAGAGCCCTGCCCCCACCCCTCCCCGTAGAATCAGGGCTTTGGGATGGGCATGGAGGTGAGTGCCCTCCGACCTCCTCAGAGGCCCTGCTCCCCGCCCCCGCCCCCCACTGCCCCATGCATGAATGAATGAGTCCTCTCCGCACTGCACCCTGCTACTGTTCCTAATGGCCTCCAGGTTAGTGCTCACTGGTGCTGACGCTTGTGTGTGTGTGCGCGGGTGTGTCAGTCTATCTTTGTTTCTTTGTGGGGTTTTTGGCACTGACTGGCTATGTCCTAGGGTTGGATGGGGACCCCAGGGGGACTTGGTGGGGACCTGTCTGTCTGATTGTATGCTTTTTCCAGCGGGCACGCAGGCTGCTCAGGGCTGCCAGGAAAACAAACCTTTTGAGGCCGAATAAATCTGGAGTCCATGTTGTTTGCTTCTGTTCTCCGTTCGTTTGGGGGATCTGAAAGCAGCCTGCGTGACATCATGTTGCAGAGATGTCCTCTTCATTTCCGTCCTGGGCTTTTCTCTTCTCCATCCTCTTCTTCCTCCTCCAGGAACACTGCTTGAACTGAGCTTTGGCACTAAGGGGGGCCCTGGGTGGGCTGGAAGGAGGGGTTGGACTGGGGCTGGTGGGGTCCCTTTGACCAGTGAGGCTTGACTGCGGCCCTCTGACTTGGAGAAAGGAGTGCAGAGGATTGAATTAGTGGTGCGTCATAGAGGTGGCCAAGAGTTTCTGGGGGAGGCTGGACGGGCCATGTGCTCCTGTCCCCACCCACTGACTTCCTCCCTGGTGCCCCTGTGGGCAGGAGGTGACCGGAGCATTGGTCAGGAACATACGGACAGATGCTACTCATCCCACAGGGAGAGGGCCATAGGACACATGGGTCATGTCACTAGGAGAGGCCGAGAGGGGAACTGGAGTGCTCTGGACTTGGGGAAATAAAGAGATTTGTTTCTTGGCTCTGCCTGCACTTGGCTCAGACATTTGCCATGTGTTTTGAGAAAATAGATTCCCAGTGGCTGGGCCTGACTCCCCCACACCTCCTTGCATTGTTACTTATTTGCTTCATTTAGGGAAGTGGCGGGTGGGGGAGGACTTGGAGCTTGCTGTCTCCCTGGGGCTTCAGCCAAGAGCTTAGCCAGGGTTGGGGGAAGCGATCTTTGCCTCCTCTCTGACATTTGCTACCAAAGTCTGCTCTGTGGCCTTGTCTTCTGCCTCCTGCCTTGCCTCTCCCGAAAGCTTACCTTGACTGCGGGTGTACTCCCTTCTGCTTTGGATCGTACTTTGCACGTCGGAGACATCTAGTACCAAGATGGAAAATCTGGCCTCTGAAGAGTCAGGGAAAGGGACCTTTTGTGAAGCTGCCTGTAGCAAGAAAGTGACAATGTCAAGGTCATGACCAGAAAGTAGTTTCCTGTGGAACTTGAGAGGCAACTGGTCTGGTTAACTTTTTAGAAATTTGAAGAACTTTGAAGTCATTGATTGTGGACAAAATGAGCAGGAACTTTTGCTATCCTACTTAGAAAAAAAACTTCCTCTCTTTCCTGGCTCTATAAATTTCCTCCCCGGAGAGGGTGAGCCTGGACTCCTTCCCTCTGGGTATCGTGTAGGTCGCATCAGGTTCCTTTTCTGAGGGACAGAGGAGAAATGGGCTTGTGAAGAAGACCTTGCAGGGTTGTACACTGTTAGACCAGGGGCTGGTGAACTCTTTCTGAAAGTCTCCTGGGCTTTGTGTGCCATGCTGTGTCTGTCATAGCTATATACCCTTGCTTTGCACACCAAAAGGGACTATGAACAATTTGTGAACAAATGAGTGTGGCTGTGATCACAGTAAAACTTTATTTATGGGCTCTAAAATGTGGATTTCACATCGCTTTCACATCAAAAAATATTATTCATTTTTCAACCATTTAAAATTATTGTGGCCTAGAGATACTCATATCAACCGTTTGGGACTGTGGTATGACCTAAGCTGGAACGAGAACTGGGTTCTGCATCATCCCGCCGGAACTCAGGTTTGTCTGGCTGGGGAACTGTGGAGTGTGTGAGTGTGGGTGTGTGTTCCTTGTAGAGATGTGTGTGCGTATGAACATGTACACGCACTCTCAGCCTGTATGGTATGGTGGAAACACAGTACTCAGAGACTCAGAACAGTGACTAAGCCCAGATTCCCCTGTTCGGACGATGACTCTAGAAATACGTATGTACTCTGATTTATAAATTACATGGGGTGATTATTCTGCTCTCTTCTCTGCAGTAGTACAGCCATGTCTGGGATCTAGTTTAAGGAGACTTGGGGTCATCTGGAATCCATTGACTCACAGGGGAGGGAGAGCCCAATCAGAGATGGGGTTAAAGGTGTGAGAGTTATATGAACATGCCACATAGAAGAGAAATTAAATTTGTTCTACTGCTCCAAATGGGGTAGAATAAGAACTTTGGTAGGAATCTACAGGAAACAGATTGAGCTTCAAATAAAAACTATCAGTTGTCTACTGTGAAATGATTTATATATCAGTTAATGACTCCTCTGTCACTTTCACATCTGAGTTCAGACTAAACAAAAATGTGGTAGAGATGCTGTAGAAGAAATGATTTTTAACTTCTGAGAATAGGTGGGAGAAATTAGAATTGTTTCTTTTGAACAAAGCGTATAGGCATGAAGGAGGACTTTAGCTCACAAACTGACTTCTGGGAAAGTTGGAATGAAAAAATAAATGGTATTAAGTGTGATAGAACATAACTTTTTTAAAAACCATGACTTCTTCATGGTAAGAGGAAATAATGAGAAGCCTAATAGAAAAGCTCTGTGATTCTGTACCCCAAATGTATTTTCAATTTGACTAAAGCATCTTGGGTGATGTAGGTATCCGCTTAAAGCCATGCAGTTGGGCTGACCGCTTATAGCCCTCTTTATTCTAAAATTTCCACGACCTATCATAATCATCATTCTTTGGCACATTTCTGTTTGATGTCTAACAGAAAATAAAGTAGAAATGGTTTGAGTCACAGGAGAGCCATGCAGTGAGGTAAGCAATGAGTGGGGACGGCCCTCCAGATGCTGTTACATCTGCTAGTCCAACACGGGTCCTAGCTAAGAACTTTTATCCGCCAGGATTGTGGCATCCTCTGCTGCCTGCATTGATGTGGCCCTGTCCAGAGAATAAGCTGGCAGTGCTAAGTTCACTGTGGGTTCAGACTGCCAGCAACTTGCTTCTGAATGCTTTGCCTAGTGTAGATCTGAGTTCTTTCCCAGAAATGCTACCACTCTCAATAGTTCCCAGGGTGTTCCTCATACATTCTTTGCCGTCCTCCTCACCCACCCTTGTGGGGATTAGGTGGCATCCACACTTCAACAGTAAAAGCTGAAGCTCAGAGAACAGTGCTTTTCCCCAGACTGTGTACTAGAAAGGGGCTAAGTTAGAAAGGCCACCTAATTCCTGGTGTACTATTTCCCAAGTGGCTTGGCTGCCTGGACAGGAGGTAAAGGGAGATGTTTTGATTGAATCCAAGTAGCTCCTATTATATTGGTGTTAGTTAGTAGTGTGTCTGTCTGTCCCACCAGATGGGGAGTTTCTTAGAGGCAGAAATGATATCCTTAGTGCCTAGAACATTACCTGGCATGGAGCATGGTTCTCAGTGATGGATAGGTGGGTGGGTGGATGGCTAGAAGGATTGATCCTGCACAAGCTCCTTTCCCTTTTGGTAACAATATTTCTCATGCTGAGAATGGAGGAGGGGCCCTTAATGAGCAAACTTAGAAGGAGCTGAAAGTTCTATTCAGTTGAACTGCTCCTTGGTTCAGTAGTTTGTGGTCTCTCAATGGGTTGGAAATCTTTGTCAAGGAAGGGGCTTCCTGGGTTAGCTTAGCACTTTTCTGCTTTCACAGGTCCCATTCTCTTGAACTTTCAGACTTCTGAATACTTGGGGCAGGATTACTTTCTGAAATACTCTGTACTTAGATTTGGTTGCTACTTACAGAGTCTATTTTGAAAGGATTAAGTCCTTACTTCCATGCTCAATATCATGATTGATGTTATATGGATGTAAGCAACCATGACATAGTTGCCCCATATCATGCCCTATTTCAGAAAATATTTGCTTAATGATGTTGAATCAGCAAGATTAGCTTAATTTTTGAAGACTTCAACTCAAATTGAGTTGGATGGATAATATTATTAACTCTCAATGGAAAGTAAGAATTCTGGCATTTAAAGTCCTTTTAGAGATGCCCCAACTTGTATGCAGCTACCTGTGAATACTCCATATTGGAAATCTGAAGCAGAGGCGGGCAGCTATCATTAGGGTCACTGCCAAGGGAATTCCTGCACCAGTGGGAGAATAGTTTATTGACTACTAATGCCCCTTCTAAACTAGAGCATTATAGATTAACTCAGGCAATTCTGCAGGCCACTCCCTCGCTAAGTGAGGTATTTGTTCTGTTGTGAACAGTCTGGAGAAAAGGAAATTGTATATACCTGTAAGTTCCTGTGTTTAATTTCATATCAAACTGCTTTATCTTTATCACTGCAGCCCTATGAAAATAGGAGCTAGCTGAAGACATGAATAGTGACAACCTATGTTCTTGCCCTGTGTTTTTGCCATGTAGAAAAGATAGAATTTAGGAACAGGATTCTGTTTCTTCATTGAGAATTCACAAGCTACTTTTAACCTCTTTTCACACCATGAGAAATTATAGGAAGCCCTTTAGTTTTGGGATACACTGTCTAATTAGGGCTATTCTTTTTATTCAGTCCAGTAAAGTTGGTAATAACATTTTGACAGACAAAGAACACAGGTACCCAGAAAGACATCTAGACGAAATGAACAGGCCATCCAGGAGTCTGGAAGTGATGTCATCTTTTAGTTTTCATGGATCCAGAAATCAGAATAAGGACTAAGGTCTGGAGTAATAAAGACAGCAGATTTGGGGCCAGTTTTAAAAAGATGTGTCTAGCAGACATATCTGAAAAATGGAATGAGTGGACAGATGGCTAAATAATAGAATGAATTACTTTAAAAAGAGCTCATTTCCTTATTCATGTCATACATGTCTGCAGTCCCAGTGTATCCCAGTCATTTTGCTGGAGGTACTGGAGAACTATATAGAGTGTTCATTCTAGTGATAAAGAACTAAACCACAAAAGAGGCCGTTTTAGTTCCTCTAAGTGCAGGGAAGGGAAACACGAAGTGATGACATAAAGATTGCCTAGAAACAGTGAGGCCACTTTGGACAGAGTGGTCAAGAATGTCTGCTCCAGAAAGGTGACATCTGAGCTTCGACCTGAAGGTTGAAAAGGAACTAGCTTTCAAAAGTTTAGAGTAAGAAGTCTAGGCAGAGGCCCACAAGTACAGGTACCTTCAGGAACAGATGAACTTGTGGTCAAGGGAGAGAAAGGCCTAGGGAGGCTGGAATAACACAAGAGAAAGTAGTGTGAAAGGAAATGAGGAAAACAATTGAATTTCAGAAGAAGTCAAATGGATGGTCATTAAATTCTTGGGGGATTTGAACCTTTCCCTCCAGAAGGTTAGGACAAGGAAATAGAATGGATTTGATGTAGTCTGTGATTGTGTGACTTCATTTCTGCCTTCCGATGCTGTCTCTGTAGCATCCTTGGCATTTCCCAGGGTTATCATAATTTGCTCTTCTTTGAAATATCCACAGAGATAACAGCAGGCTTGGCTTTGCCCCTGCGCTCTGGCAGGATGCAAACAAACTTATTTTGTTTTTGTAGGAAGCGGGGAAAAGTGGGTCAGGCTGTTTTGGCATTTCAAGCATGGAGTCTGAGTTCTATTGCAGGCTCTGGTCTCCATGGAAATGAAAAATAGTGTTTGTCATGCCTGTTTGAATTCCTGGATTGAATTCCAAGCTCTGGACTGAACAGAAGCTGCAGGAAAGCCAGGCACCCGGAGAGTGGGATGGACGGAGGCTGCAACCATTGCGGTGAAGGGACCTTTCTCTTTGGCTCGAGTAGGAAAAGAAAGGCCTTTGCCCCCAGCCAGTTGGCTCTTCCTCCTTCGCCTCTCATGATCAGGTATGCTGATGAAAGTGTGATGGAAGTCCTGCTTTTCTGTATTTGGCCACAGGATTTCCATGGACCTTGCCCTTATGTTAATTAGTCAATTAATAAATTCATAAACAAGTGAAGTCACTGCTAGGACTTTCCCCCACAGCACATGGATGCCCAGTGTGAATATTTCTAGATGCTCAGCTAAGCCCACTGACCAAAAAATGTTTCGGATAGGCTCTGCCACTTTCAATTATTTTGTCAGATTTTCTAAAAGTTAAAAAAATTTTTCTTAGACACTGAAGATAGGGAAGGAACATTAAGACAGAATTTATTACCCATAGCAAGTGCCCTAAGTTATCTTTACAGTCTCCACAGAGATGTCAGATAGCCTGACAACAGCCTTTTGGTTAAGCAGAATCTGTCCCTGAACATCTTGCCTACTTCATTCAGAGGCCCAACTTGGAAAGCACCTAGGGAATTTCAGCAAGTTACCCAAACAGGAGCGGGAGCAAGATGTTCTTCTCTGAAAACTCTACTCGTAGCAGTTAGAGGAGGCCCGTTCTGTGTCAGGATCAGCAGTTGGCCATTGTGTGAACTCTGATAGGGAAGAAAAACATTATTCTGGGAGCCCTTTCCCTTTCTGTGTTTGCTTGAATGTAACCTGCAGCTAAACCCAGGCCAAGTGGGGCCTTCAGGAAGCAGCCTGAGACTCAACTCTACAGTAAATTTGGGAAGAGAACCCCTCTGTTGTAGGGAGGGAAAAAGCCCCTCTTCTCAAAACTTTCTGTCCCCTTTCCTCAACGAGGTAATCATAGTCTGTAACAAAGGCATCATTTCCTTTCTTTCTTTGAAAGAACTTTACCCCAGGGATGGAGCTGCTGCCAAGTGTAATGTCTGTATGACCAGTACATCAGGAGTAGGTAACTTTCATGGTCACAGGGAGGCCCTCTTAAGTGGAACAACAGTGTATTTCGTGTACATTCAAACTCCTACCTCATCCACTTTCCTAAAATGTGTTTGTTGGGCGGGAGGAAAGCCACTGAGACTTGTTCTTGCACTGATATAGAAAGATTAATTTTTCAAGTGATTTGATCTGTTCCTCTCTAAGGACAAGTGGGATTTGAGATTTGGGCTATTCACTCCCATCTGCAAGGTTCTGCTTGGGCCTGGCCTACTGTGCTGCATCTGTTAGTGAGTATAGATACATAGACACTGTTAAATGACAAGTAAGAACACAATGAAGAATAACCATTTTCAAGGAGGCCTCATAAACTCTGAATTTGGAACTGGTGTAGGTGAACAAACCTGTGGATGGAGGCATTTGCTGGCAGCATATTCATTTCATGCAAATTTTATGCAAATACACCTGTGGCCTTCTCATCCTAGACATGAGCTATAGGAAAATTCAAAGGCTATGTGGATATTTGCAGTGGTATTGCAATGAACTAAGGACAGTTGCTGGTAAAACTTCAGAATTGTTGTGGACATGGGACATGTGGCTGGATAACAGAGAAGTAGGTCTGTTAGGAGTTAGGGACCACAGATAGCAGAATCAGGTTTAACCAGGTGCTATCACAGGCAGGGAGGGTTGAGACGCTTATAATGTGACTATTGTCATGAGTGAGAAGGGGACGTCCACTGGGTACCACCGTCCTCAACCATATCCCGTTGTTTTCTCCCCTTCATTTCTACTTTGGATTCTTCACACTGGCAGTTCCTATGACAAGCTAAAAATGATTTTACTCCTCCAGCAGTCAACTCACCTGGTAGACACTGAACAGCTGTTGCACTAAAAGAGATGTAAACAGGTCCCTGTCACTTGGGGCAGATATGTCACTTATTTCTTCATACCTAAGAGGTTTTCCTTTAGGAGCAATAGATCTCATACTTCACAGTGCAAACGGGATCACCCATGGTAATTGTCTAGCATGTAGATTCTGAAGATGAGCCCCTGGAAATTCTCATTTATTGTGTGGGAGTGGTGTGGGGTGAGGCTGGCATTCTGCACGTTAAGAAAGCGCCTGTATGTTCTTGTCCCTACTATGGAAATGATCCCTGGCAGCATTCAGAGCTTTGGCCCCTAACTCCTCGAAGAAACGTGTCTGTTCTTCACTTTACAGGGACGAACATAGGCCTTCTTAGTAATAATAGTGGCTGAGAAATATTTATTGAGACCTGTCATGTATCAGCTACTGCGCTAAATGTTTTTCTATTTCATTTTATACAATAGGGATATGAGACAGGTATTAGTATCACGTATTTTTCCAATGTGCAAAATGGACCAGGTTCACACAGCAAGTTCTGTGTGAACTCAGAGCAGGTTCACACAGCAAGCAAACAGCCAAGCTGGAACTCATACCTGGGCTTGCTGGTACTGCACACTAGTAGTTAATCTGAACCTTGTACTGCCCAGTACACAAATATTACATTGAGGCTGGATTTCCAAATTTCTAATGAAGTGTGTTCTTTTTGCTTCACGGAGATGCCCTGGAATGCATCAGACGGTCTTTTAAAAAAAGATTATCAGAGTCCCTGGCCCTGAGATGTTTACAGCCATTATTTGGTGGTGCAGATCACTGTAGGGCTGCTAAGAAGAAACAATGAAGTGAATATTCCATGTCTTGATGTGGAGCGGAGGGAAGAATCCGCTTGGAAGTGAGCCAGGCCTGGGGGCTGCTGGGGGTGCAACATGCATGACAAGAGTAAAGGAAGGAGTTGCTGCCATCCAAGCAGGTGGAGG